AACGTAACAATCGGAGATAAGAGTAAGTTTGATAAGTTATAGTATATAGATAATTATCTCACAAACCAAAGGGTAGCTTTTAGTAGGATTTGAACTCATAATAAAAAAAAAAAAGCAACTAAAAAATACTTAAGTAGATGCAATTCAAAATTTAACAATGGTAAAAGAAATTTAAAAAGTACGAATAAAAAATAATGATACTACTACTAATAATAATAATCATAATGACAGCAGCATAAGCCACCATTCATATCAGAGTATGTCTGTCTACTAATGTGGCTAGCCAATCTGTTGCAGATACCTGCCCAGGTGGATTTGTGTTTGTTCAACACACAGAGCTCACCTGTAGTTTATACTGCAACGACCCTGAGCAGACCTTAGTTACAGTTTCTGCTGAGAGCACATTATCTGAAGTAATCAACAGTCTGAACAAGGCCAGCATGCTCAAACCCTCGGTCACAATGACTTGTGACTTCATACTAGCACAACCAACAATGGCTTACCAAATAGTTCTGTCTACCCCAGTTTTGCAAGACTTGAGTTAACCTCCAAGCACTTTCCAAAGGTGCAGCATACTGAGATTGCCCCCTCCTCTTCCCAAAGGGCTAACATCATAAAGTCACCTTTCTAACAAATCAACCATGGTGAGATTTAAACCATTTTATGGTTGAAAAGCAAATGTTCTAATCACTTTGCCATGTGCACACATAAATAACAGTTAACTGACAAGTCTATAAAAACTAAATTTAAATACTCGTGATGAACTGATAGTACTTCAAGAATTTTAAGGAAACAGGTAACTTGACATAACTGTAATGATTAAACAGAATAATTATAAGGATTAATATAACAAAAGAAAAAAAAAACTTATTCCTACTCAAAACTATTCCAACAAGTTACCAAAGGGAACAAGTTTGGTATAAATAACTTCTGCTTATCAGATGTTACTACTTCCAAATGAAAAGATATGATCGAAATTGGACAATGACATGTCCCGGAAATGGATATATTTGTTCAAAGTAGCAAAGTGGTTGTTGACTACTGTAACCGAGTACGACAATCTAACAGGTAACTGTAATGGACTAGTCCTCGTTGTAGTGGTAGGCAATAGGTGAAGACAATAGGCATCCTCCTATACCTCCACATCAGTCTGTATTTATGGCTGACACCAGCCAATCATATTACTGTGAGGGAGAACCCAGGTGTATGTATATTCATTACATCAGACAAAATCCCATGATGCTAGAAAACTCCAAAGATTCTTTCTCTATATGACATGTCCCTTCAAGACATATATAATCATGACTCAACAGCTTCTGGTTCTTTGTAAGTTCTTAGTAAAGTTTATATTGTTTTTTTTTTCCTAATCACCATTCTGCCAACCATTTACACAAGCCCATTAGGTAAGTCACCTGCTGATTTCCTCTGACTCTCTTGCCTTAAATATGATCTGTTAGTATCAAATACTAAAAAAATCCTTGTCATTATGTATTCTAGAAATTTCAATTGTGTCTTTCTAATTCAAAGCATAAGGGGCTTTTTTAGTTTCTATTTTCCCTTGGTAGATTATAAAATGTACTGTTGGAATTTTTTTAATGTATTGCTGGTAATTTAACTACAAAAATGTATTGTTAGTAATTTTACTATAAAAATGTATTTTTATACTTTCTCAGTGTTGTATTGTTGGTCATTTTATTATAAAAATGTACCATGGATTTTTGTTTGATGGTTCACTATTTACCCACAGCTGGGGCCCTAATAGGTGCTACCATTCCAGGTCAGGGTGGACCTGGGAACAACAGCAATTAAGAAATGGTTCCAACTTCCTTAAAACCCTCCAAGCTACTGATCAAAGGCCTTGCTGCCAGATGTAGTTTATTGTCATACCCAGGATGGGCAATTAAGAGGTGATTCAATTCTCCTCAAAATTTCCATTCTCCTGATCAGAGGCCTTGCTGCCAGATGTAGTTTATTGTCATACCCAGGATGAGCAATTAAGAGGTGATTCAATTCTCCTCAAAATCTCCATTCTCCTGATCAAAGGCCTTGCTGCCAGATGTAGTTTATTGTCATACCAAGGACAAAGTAACACACGAAGGTGAATCAAAACTCTGTAGCTTTTTTAGTAGCTAAATTTGATTCACTGTATACTGTCCAATCTATGCAATTCATATTCACTACTAAATTAAGTGCATTAACCAAGAAGATTATGCTGAAAAATATTTGTGTAAAATAACCCCCCACCCCGTGTGTGTTTAAAATCTGATGAAATAACAGCATTTTCATTTGTTTGGAGCAAAATTCTCAGCATCATATATATATATATATATATATATATATATATATATATATATATATATATATATATAAAATAAACATATTGTTAAATATAACAGACAATGAATATCTATTATGTCTGATCATGAGCCATTCTAATGTTCATGTGTTTGCTTTAATTTTGGGTGAAAATAAAGACAAAAATTGTCCAACATTTGGATATACTTTTATTAAGCTGTTCCTTGATGTAAGCTTTTGGATCACATGGCCCATCTTCAGAGTGGTTATACGGACATTTTAGCAAAGATATTCGCCATCAAAGATAATATAGAAGATCGCTATGCGATGATAACGGTCACAGAATAGTTCCTAAGTTCAAGATGCAATTCTATGACATCATATCATGTGATATGAATAAAAAGATGAGGGAAAACTATTCTTAGCTGACACGTTTCATCCTCTGAGGGACTTTATCAAGGCAAATGTAGGATTTATTTTGTTGCATGTGTTTATATACAAAGGTGAGGATGTCATTGGTTTATCAAAGCTTATAAATTTGACAATGTTCATGAATATTCATCAGGTGGCTGAAAGGTCAGTCAAAGTACGTGGAGGACACAAAGTGCCATAATTCAAAGTTTGGTATGGCAAAAGTAAGAGTAATATTCAAGAATTTAAAAAAAAAAAATAAATAAATGAATATTGTTTAAATTGTGATCAGATTGTTATGGTTTGGGATTGACATATGTGCTGTACATCTTCAAAAACATGAGGTAATGGATTTAACCTTCCTCACTCTGTAAATGAGATCATTTGAGGTAGAACAAGTTTATCCTGCCACTAAAGGTAACTCTGATCCATAAACAATAGTGTGTTTGAATTTAATAGTTGTGCTGTCATATCCTACTATGGCAACAGAACTTGATGTAGGCCTCTGTGTTAAGTCTGAGACCCTGTGGGAAGATGAATGGAGGCATAATGTCGCCATCACTAGTAATCAATCCAAACATTTTTGTAATCACAATTAGACTCGTCCAACTCTTTCCAAATCCTCTGCACTGTTCTCAGATTGACACCCAAACACTCTGAAATGTTTGTATTGGGGCCTGCAGTATGAATACCAAGCAGTACAACCATACCGTTTCCAAGTTTCTGCCAAAGCGGATTGCATCATGGTGGTCTTTTCTTCACAGACAGTGCCCAACTGACCACACTATACTGTGCAGGCAACAAAAACAAACAATGTGCATACCAGAAATGAAAAATATAAAATGGCAATAATTTACTCATCAAACCACATATATATATATATATATATATATATATATATATATATATATATATTTAAAATTAGGAGCTCAGTTGAATCTCATATATATATATATATATATATATACACATACATATACATATATATATATATATATATATATATATATATATATATATATACACACACACACACTAAAAATTAGGAGCTCAGTTGAATCTCATATATATATATATATATATATATATAAAGATAGGATGAAGAACAAATAGACAATTTTTATCAATCTAACAGGTTTTCACTTTTAACTGTAACTAAGGTCTGCTTAGCATAGTCATTGTATACATGACAGGCTGCATCTGTAGGCGTTGAAGAAACATAAATGTGCCTGAGCAGATATCTGCAATAAGGATTAGCTTGCCACAGGGACAGGTGTGCTTAGAAACAAACAAATAACAATTGCATGTGTGCTCTTTTCCAATAGATTGATATGCCTATAAGATTGGAGCAATAAATTTTAATCTTAAATTTGCACACACTGGCATTTAAAAATCAAATTTAAGTAATAAAGAAACTACTTTTATTTTTACTACTCTTCACGGTGTATGCATTTTAGATTGTCCTTTGACAAGTTTGTTAAAAAACAAATATTTGTGTAAAATAAATGCATTTTTCATTATTATTATAAATGTATAAGGTCATGTATGTTGCTGAAAAGCTTTCAGTTCAACCAAAAGATAAAAATGCTGATGTTTGGGCAGGTTTTAAGTAGATCAAGCCAAGAACCTTTCAGCACCATTTCCCTATCACTTTTTTTTTTTTTTTTTTTTTAAGTGTTTCACCCCAAGCAAGGTGGGAAGCCACTAGGACGCAAGGGGTTACAGAAAATTTGGAGCAAGATCAGATAGGCGTGATAGAAGAAAGGATGAGGAGAAGGGTAGTAGATAGATCAAGGCAACTGGAGATGTCGATTGACATTACATTTGAATAGCTGGAGATTATAGCTCTCAGGGAAACTGGAATAGGGAAGGGAGTTCCACAGGTGAGAGGTGCAAGACATGAAGCTATTGGAGTAGAAGAGACGACTACATTTAGGAGTTTCGACAGTGAAGGGGTGAGAGCGGGATGCCAGCCTCGTAGGGCGCTTGAACTCATGAAGTCTGGGAACAAGCGCACACAAGAAACATACATGACTGCTGTTTGTGTTTTATTTAATGAATCGATGGCATCACCTTTGTCTTGAATTCGGGGAAATCATCTTTTACAGATTTGCAAGATTTTCTCTTAGATTAACAACTATATAGGTCATGCAGAAATACTTACATCGGCAAAAGAAGACTGCGGAGTGTTGTAGTCGCCACTGCTGTCACTTTCCAATGTTTTTGTTATGGTTTTATTGTGGTCTTCGGGAGTCAGGATTCGATGAGGTATATTCATTTTTGCACTCTCCCCCCTGGAAAAAATAAAATGTAAAGGATCGTCAGATACAATTAATCTACCTTTAATACTCAGCATCACTTGTACAAAAAGATAATTCTATGACAGATTATGATCCGATAATACGTAGTCTAAACAATGATCCCTTTAAGCAGTCAAAGGAAGAGGCCAAAGAGATATTAAAAACTGAGGAGGAAAAAGAGACAAGTTGAAATTGTGATACTATTGGGAGGGGGGGATTGTAAAGTTAATCTCTAATAATTGCTATACATGGCAGAAGACTACAAAAATGAGTAATCAGACGTTCGTATCATACTATTGTTAGTCTGTACAAAAATTCAGATAAAATAAAAAATATATTTGTAAAAAGACTATGAATAAAGATAAAAGGAAAACTTATCTTAGCCAATGCTTTTCATCCACTGATGAACTTTATCAAGGCAAATGTCTTGATAAGTGCATCATAGACTGAAACACCTCAACTAAGATAAATTTTCCTTTTTATCCCTTTTATTTGTGTGTGTGTGTGTGTGTATCTATATATATATATATATATACATACACACACACAAAAACCACACAAGAAATGGGGGCGGGGTGGTAAACAAAACCGCTATGTACATACATGAATTGACAAAAAATAAATAAATAAATAAATAAATAAAATGAAAATAAAATTGTCCCAAACACAAAAAAAAAATAAATAAATAAATAAAACTATTACCAAAAAGAAAGCCACTTGTAATTGGATATAAAAACATACCAAGAATGAGATTTTATGGGATCAATAAAAGTATGTGGGAGATAATCCTTAATAAAACAATATTCAAACCATTTCCAAAGCTAATCATTGATACTTAACAACAACAAAGACGCTACATCTTATAATAGCTTTAATACACTGAAGTATTTTATGATTTTAAATGACCCTATTATGAATCAGATAAACAAAACTTCAACTGGCATTGTAAATCTCTTAAAATGTTAATACCATTTACCATGATTAAATTGAGAGAACTCAATCCCTGACAGCCCTGAAAAGAAAACAAGATAAAGTAACATATTAAACCTGGATGATTAATAGTGCTTGAATTTAGAGGCATTAAAGACAGAAAATAATTTACAATTACTAAAATTAGCCTTGTAAATCTTAGTTTAGCAGAAGGTCACAAATATGGAGCACCCAGTGAGGATCAAACACACTCTTCAGTATTTATTGTTGTCTATATAGGATGAGTCCCCGATCCCTACATTCTTAACCTGTTTAAGTCTAGGGTTAACCATTATCTTCCCTCATAAAATGTGCCTCTTACTCTCTACTTCGAGTGGCTCTCAAGCCTTGTACAAGGTGAACATCATTGTTAAAAAAAAAAAAAAAAAAAAAAAAAAAAGGAGCAGGTTATTAAGTGAGGTGCCCTACTAAAATTAAAGTTGACAAGATGGCTACACACTGCAACAAGATGTTTTCCTAAGAGCTATATATTAGATTAGAATTCACTTGATAAGTCTCAAAAGCCACTCAAGTTGAAGATTACTGGTTTACATATAATTGGGGAAAAAAAGTTTCACCTTTCAACAAAGCAATGATTGAAAACACTCTAAATTCTTTCAAAATTACATAGTCCAAAAAAAAAAAAAAAAAAAAAAAAAAAAAAAACACAGAAATAATGAAGAAAAGGAACAAAAGGAAAAGTAAATTATGACTTTGCCATTCTCTTAACCTATCTCTTATTGAATTAGTATCGTATGAATTGGATAAGAGAGTTCAAAGAGCATGCCCAAAAGTGTGAGAGTGAGCTTTTTCAGTGCTTGAACAATGCTTGGGAAGGTCTGCCACCTACTTCTTTTATAAAAAAAAAAAAAAAAAGTTTTGGAAAAAATACCAAGAATTTAAATGGTTGTGGTGGTTTTATTGACAGAAAGAAAATATGATGCTGTTGTATGATCATTTTTTTAGAGTTATGTGTTTATTTTTTGTCAAAATGAAAGACTCTACTTACTGAAATTTTATCTTTTATTTAAAAAAAAAAAAAATGTCTGTAGTGTACATTGTCAAGGTACTTGTGTTGAAATTATTTTCACCCCCTTCTCATGTAATGCAGAAATAGTTTTAAGAAGTTCCTATCTTAAATCTTACATCCAAATTTATGTGAACTGGATCCCAAATAATTTAAACATCAGAGTGAGACTTCCTCAGTACCAAGATGATACATTTGATCATAGGACTTGGCACTTTCATGGGTGTAAGCAGGAGTGGTTATTAGGCTTAAGTATAATTAGCCTTTTATGTTTATATAACACTAGCAGTATGGCCCGGCGTTACCCATGCTTGATTCAAAAATCATATGACTCATACAGCAATCGCTATCACTTGACTTAAAATATTTTTGCCCTTCCTTGCCTTTAAAGGAGTGCCCTTTGCCGTGCTGATGTTGCTATATGCCTTACTCCTTGCCTATCTCACACTGTGAATTTTTTCTAAGCTCTATGCTAAACATTAAATCTGTTATGAAAAAAGAACTAAACAAAATAAACACAAAACAATCAGCTTTAAAAAAGGACTTGTAACTGGAAAAACCAAATGAAAAAAGAATGTTAACAACAAATACTTTTTCACACCCAACCCAGTTCTGCAGAATCAGAATCAACGTTGAGCTTAAGCAAGCTATCGATTTTTTTTGCATGCTAGCATGTTAGTTAACATTCATGTCAGTCAGCTGTTGGCTCTCACACTGGCCAATAGAATCTTCCTGCCTATTCATGGCAGCCAGCTATAGGCTATCACTCTGGCCATTACAAAATGGCTGCAAACTACATGAAAACTGCTGTAGAAGCATGGGAAAAAAAAATCAATTATTTCCACTATTGATAGGAGTTGGGAAATGCAAAGTTGGTCTTGGCCTTTCCGCTAACTTGGAGCATGTGCATGTAAATTTTGGTGCAAATCCGTCGAAAATTGCAGCCATGCATTCATTACACACACACACACACACACACACACATCCTGCCTTTTATAGATAGAGATTTTGTCTGTGATGCTGGTTTTTAATTATTGTGTACATTTCTCATACTCAATTGAGCTCTGATGAGAGAGAAACAACAGGTTAAGTTAGTTTATTTGCTTTTTGATATTAACACTTTACAATAATGTAATCTTTTTTTTATTATTCTTATTCTTTCCTCTTGTTTTAATATGTCTCTCATAAATATAAAATTCTGTACACCTTTTTAAATATTTTTTCTTTTCCTTATTGCTTGCCTTGTTTCCACCAAATCTAAGCCTGTGCTACCCAGCCCAAGGATTGAACTCACAATTACTATGTCAGCAAATTCACAAAACAACACTTCAATCCACTAGGCGATTCTTACCCAGATTGACAGACACCTGAAAAATACCAGACAGCAAACGAGAGATGAGGATATTGGTCTGATTGTAAATAGTATAAATGATGAGCCCCATCACAGAAATTCAAAATTTGCTTTTCAAATTCTTTATTTCTCTCCAAGAATGAACAAGGCTAACTTTATAGCTGTAATCTCATCCACTTGGCAAGAGAAGTCTATAGAAAGTTGGTTGACTAGAATGACCTTTAAATAATCACCCAAAATATTTTTAAGAATTCAAAGGAGACTTGTTGCTCAGCCTATACAAGATAAAAACTTATTTCAAACTTATATAATAACATCTAAAAATAGCAACTGACATAAAAGGCTCTGTTGTTGCCTATTTTTAACATGCCTGCACCAAAATTGGAAACTCACAAAATTTTTTTTTATTTTTGACATTAGCAAAAACAATCCTGTTTTTATTTTCAGTTAACAAGAAATTTATTAATCATTTTGGAGTGCCACATTGTCACCTAATTTTTCTGACACATTAACATCTACAGAAGTCATGCATAATAAGTATTGTGCTTACTACCCAATCTTTACCATCATTCATTTCAAGGTTTCATTGTTGGTTGGTATTTCTTCAGTCACCAATCTTTAATGTTTTATTAATAGTTTATTATCGACAACACTAAAAAGTCCTCAAAGATGTTTGACATTAATATCTAATGTTAACTGTCTTTTAAAGTAACAATAAAAAATATTTTTCCTGAAGATCTGCCAAGAAAGGTGAAATGTAAGAAACTAGATGCAAATTTACCATAGATGATTTAGCAATCAGTGTACTTTCTATACATTTTCATGTTAGTAAATTACCCTGTCTTAAAGCAGCATTTTTTAAATCCAAATTATAGTCGAACTCACACATACATCTGTTGATATTTCTGAGATGAGGTATTATGTACACTATTTACATTGCTTGGACTATCATCCTCATCTTTGTTACCATATTTATCACAATGCTATTGTACACTTCGGCCTTCTTCAGGTGGTCAGAATGTCAAACCGAGCCCTTTATTTCAACAGTGCTTTACATGATGGTCTTGAACAGGCTGTCGTGTCTTGTAAATCTTGACTGTACAAATCACTGATAGTCTCCATTCTCCTATACAGATGTGTAACGTGGACACTGTTAGCAGAAACAGAGAGAAGGATCCAAGCGTTTAAGAAGAAATGTATAAGAAAACTCTTTGGCCTCTTCTATTGGTAATATAAAACCAATGAGGAAAAGGATTGAAAGTTTTGTGAGCCAGCAGGAACTTCTTGCTACTATCAAATGAAGTAAAATGGCATGGTTTGGACACATTACAATCTCATTTAGGTTATAACAAACAGAAAATCTGCCAAAAAAAAGGTGAAAGGTTATAAGAAACTAAATGGAAATTTACCACGGATGATTTAGCAATCAGTGCAATTTTAGTACATTTTCAACATAGTAAATTACTGTTTTAATTAAAGCAGCAGTTTTTAAATCAAAATTATACTCATTATATACATACAGACATACATAATTCTCCTTGGTTTCATTATAGAAATAAACATTTCCCTTTAAATATAATCACACCCTTTAAAAAGGGGTGTGATTATAACTGATGCAAGTAACCCCACAACACCTTACCAACACCT